ACCCGCGGCCTTGGTGTTATCAGCATCGCACTCTACCGAGTGAGCCACGGGCCGGCCCCAGGGACATACTTATACCAAAAGTTGTGTTATCTAAAATTCAAATTTAGCCGGGCACCCTGTGTTTTTATTTGTTACTCTAACAACCCTAGATGGTATGTGAAGGGGACAGGAGAAAACTAGAAATGAAATTGGATGGGTTACTCTCCTTGGGGGTCTCTCAACCTCAACCTCATCCCTCCATCTGAGCTGATCTGGAACTGATGCTTTCCCATATTTTGCAGTCGTCCTTGTTATACAACTCTATTTGAGAAATCACTTTGAATTAAATGAGTCCCATGATTATGGTGGATCCTGTGTATGGACCTTCCTTACAGAAAAATGAACCTACCAGCTCAACAGATGTCACCCACACCCACACCCACACCCACTTTTACACAGAATTTTAGGGAGTTCCTAGCCTTCATTTAAGAGTAGCACATTCCCTTTAGGGCAGTGGTCTGAATGTGGCAGTTCTAGGGTCCTGAAGAGGAGGAAATGGTCTCTGGTCAGAACCTAAGCTGAAACGGTGCTTCTGTTAGCTCTGGCCACCCACACACCATGACAAAACACAGAAGTGGGCAGGAAGAAACACATCGTCCCTCCCCTTGGTAAATGCCTTGAGCCACTTCCCTCTGTCACCTCTCCCAGAAGACACAGGGACTCAGGCATGTTCAGACAGAAAGCCCACCAGCCCTTGTGGACTTGTGCTCCAGCTGAATGGAAGACACTCAACGAAGTCACTCTTCATTCCAAGTCCCTCTTTGTTCTCCCACCCTTCCTGCCAATGGCAGGCAGAGCCCACTGGCTCCCAGTCTGAGACTGTGCCTGCCAGAAACCGGCTATCACCAATAGGTAGCAACCCTCCAAAATATATGCTGGACATGGACTGAGCGATCAAAGCCACAGCAACATGCTGTGGGTTGATCTCAGTAGAGAAGCCCTAAGTCTCCTTCTTGCAGTCCTTACTAGAAAGCCCTCTGAGAGCCCACAGCCTGCTCTTCTCCTGGCCCTATGAAGTGAAGGCAGAAGTGGCCAAGGACGGGGTATATTGTTTTTGGACTCTCTCAGAATGTTCCAAATTACAGAAAATCTCATTGCAGGTTGCTTCCATCTCTGCTAGCATGCGCTGTTGAATTGCACTGTGGAATACAGCCCCCAAACTGACCAAGTTGTACCAAGCAAACAATCATAGCAATATACCCTACAACGTATTATCGTAGGATAACATTTTATGTTGAATATCTTCTGCAATTAAAAATTTGATATCTCATCCATATAGTGGATGATTTCCAACTATAATTTCTTTGGAGGAAGGGTCCTTTATTCTAACATGGATAGCTTTTCCTAAAATTTTTTAGTTAAAATGTCATTTTCTAACCATAATGGTGACATTAGATTTTTTTAAATGTCTTTACCTGAAAAATTAAAAACCAGGGCCGGCCCATGGCTCACTTGGGAGAGTGTGGTGTTGGTAACACCAAGGACGCGGGTTCGGATCCCTATACAGGGATGGCTGGTTGGCTCACTTGGGAGAGCGTGGTGCTGACAACACCAAGTCAAGGGTTAAGATGCCCTTACTGATTATCTTTAAAAAAAAAAATAAATTAAAAACCAGCATGCCAAAAACCAGCATATCAGTCCCCCAAATTATTTGGAAATTCTATTGGGAATTTCCAGAAAATCCAAACAGCTGGGAACCACTGGCTTAGCTTGCTGAAGGTTAAAGAGCTTCCTGATCCCTGACAGCAGGAAGCGAAATAGGAGACACTTCTGTCTCCTGTCCTCCCACAGAGTCGTGCGACTTTCAGCTGATACTCTTCGGTGAGTTTCAGGCTCCCCCTATTCCAAATATGGTGTGACTTGTTTCTGGCTTAACCTCTTCCCAGGAGTGTTCTAAGGATAAAATATCATGTACTAAAAAGCTTTGGGAAAGAAGGAGCTCTATAAATATATGAGATTACTGTTCCTAAAGACAGCTGGTGTTTTCGGTGGGAAGGGCTGAATGATCCTGGAGGGATCCAGGACAATTTCTCTGCCAGGGCATCTGGGGAAAATGACCAGCATCACTCATAAAACATGCAAACGTTCCACTGACAAGTCGGGCCAGACAGCAGAGACAACGGGCCTCCTGAGGAGCTTCTCTTTCCTCCCTCAGAGGGCACAGGTCCAAGTGCAACTAGAACTCAGGGAACCTTGAGTTCTAGTTCATGTCTCAGGGACATGCCCATGGACCTACCACAGGTCACCTAACCTGCCCTCACTTAGGCTTTTCCAGCTCTAAAAAGTACAGATGTTTGTTCGGTCCTCTTTTCACAAGGATGTTACAGAGCTGTGAGAAAACATAATCCATTCCTAATATCTCACTATACAGATTATCCAGTTAATGTTTAATTCCTGCCACCTTTAAAAATAATGTGCGACTTTTATTTTAGTGTTTAATTACAGAATAGATTTCTCTATGATTGTACCTCATGAATCACATTTGTGGGCCATTCCCCTTGCCATAGGCTAAGAGGTGCACAGGAAATGGAAAATCGTTTTACCATGAGTTGGAGCCATAACAGCAAAGGAGGTTTGGACCTGATGCTTTGACCAAAATAGACATAAGTACAATACACTGCAAACTAAAAACATAGTGTTTGGGGAAATTTGCGTGCTGGTTTCCTCCCTCCTACACATAGCCAAGAATTAACTGGAGATGAAAGCTCTTTGATCTTTAGAAAGCAGAAGCATCAGGCTGCCCAGGGTAAGCGATCAACAACTTTTGTTTGAACTTGTCTGGTATTTCACATTTATCAGCCCTATTATAAGCCAACAGTCTTACTGACTTTAGCCAAGTTTGGCACTCTCAGTTCCTGTGATCCTGCAGGTAATGTCACCCTGAACAAGCTGGTAGCTCGCAAAATGTTTTCAGGTATCTCCAAGTTGTGTGAAATGACGCCTCGCTTGAAAGTCACTCTACTGCCACGTGTTCTTACTTGAACTGACTGGAGGCAGGAGCACAGGGTGAAAGAAAGAGCAGTCAGACAGTTTAAAATCCCATTTCCTGCTTGGCTCCATCTCCCCCGACTTTCATCTTCCTACACTTTCCAGCTCAAGCCACACCTTGCCCAGACACCTTCCTTTGTTGTTATCCCTGCCATTTCTGAGATGCAATGATTTGCCTTCCTGTCCCCCTGTTAGACTGTAAACCACCTAGAGGGTGTATACTAGTCCTACTTATGTTTGAACTCCCAGCATTTCAGTGCTTAGTACACAAAATAAATGTTAGACGAATACGCAGGGGCATGCACGACTATACCAGAACTGGGCTCCCAGCCCGCCATTGGTAAGCCAGGCTTGCTCTACGAGCCCTTTCTCTAGTATCAAGTGAGAATCATGTTAAGATGTTGAAAATCCTTTTGCTCTTGGTGACAAGTATCAGGCATTTTTAAGACAGCTAGTTGGGAATGGCAGGGAGAAGAGGTGGAAGGGATTGGTCTCATAGCTGAGAAGATGTCTCTTTGCAAAACAAGTCCAGATGATGACCGCTTGCAAGTCCCTGGCCTTGGTAACATAATCTAACTACCTAATCAATTCACAGAACACAGTTAGGAAGAACTATCAATCTAGTAGGGAAGAAGCTAACTGATGCAAACTTCAGGATAAATAAAACAGAGGGGAAAGGGGGTGGAGGAAAGAAGGAGGTTCAGCCAGATGTACTTAAAACCTCTTCTCTCTAGGAGGAGTTCAAAATGAGAGGGGGCCTTTTGGGGCAGAATTGCAGAAACACCTGGGCACCCAGAGCACAAGATGAGTGGAAGTGAGGCAGGGCTTGAAAGGCTGGGTGGAGGTTGGCAAGGCAGCCGTTCAGGAAGGAGGCTGGGCTCCCATCTGGAGAGCCAAGGGGCCGGGGCTGCTGAACAGATGGAGAGAAAGTTGCAGCTGGTGAAAATGCACTTTCATGTGTAAAGTTTGGTCCTGAGAGGATTGCGATTTCCAATTCTGAAGGCAGCAGTGGCCAGGTGGCTCTGCTCCATGCCCCGCCTTCCCCCTGCCCCCCTCCTGTTGCCACTCAGAAAACTCAGACACCATGCCTCCCACCAGCATCCCTTTCAACAGGCAGAAGCTGGCATGGTGGATGGAAGAGGGCTGCAATGCTTTGGCGGCTGAAGGAGGCAGGGGAATAAGAGGAATTAATCTAGCCTCCCCAGAAGGGGACCAGGTTGACCAAGAGCAGATGGAGAGATGGAGGGAAGAACGGAATCAGGAAAAGTACATTTACAGACCTTCCAAAGCTGTTCATGATATATATGCACTGGGTCTCTACTCTGGTTCTGGCTGAGCTTTGGCTGAAGGGGAGGCAGTGGGGAAATGGGAACACACAACAGAGGCTCTGAGTTCGTTTTACCCCCATCTCAAGAGACGTTTCTTAAGGAGAACGTACCTTTAGTTTTTTATGAAATACTTGCCCACCAGAGCTTTAACAGATAAGTGATTTTTACATACTCTGGCTCTAACTGACAGCCACCTGTCTTAGCATATTTAGAGCCTCACATTGGAACAGAGGTTGCTAGCCCAACTGCACAATCTCTGAAGGTTCCTCCGACTACTGCTCAGACTGGCAGGGAACTCCCCACCCAACCATGTTAACCACACCTGAAAGGAAGCAGCTTGGGTCACAAGCACCAAGCTCCACCTCTTCCTTCTCTCTTTATTTGTGCTACACTGTGCTCCAAGTCATCAAGAGCAGAAACCACCAACTCTGTCTTGTTAAAAATCCAAGTGCCTTTTTCAGAATATGTGATTTTGCTTCCATTGGTTTTTTTTTGTTTTTTTTTAAAAAAAGACTGGAACTCAGTCTCTTATACCTATTGAGTCCATTTTCCCAAGAGATGTCTCTGTTTGAGATAATAACTTAAATACTCTTGGAGTGGAGATAGTCTCTCTCTTCCTAGTGGGATGTCTTCTTAGCTCCTTTCCCAAACTTGGCATCAAGACCAAGACCTACGGAAAGGGAGAAAATGGGCTTAGTTTTATGAGGTATAATTAAACTTACCAATGATTTGGGGGGTGGGGGTAGGGTATCGGTTTTGGTTCTCCAAAATCGAGGCTTTAAATAAAATAAATTTCAGGACACTGGTTTCATATAACTTCCTCAGAGACAAGAGAATGGCATCAAACGAAAAAAATCACCAAGATACTGGTAATTATATACATACATATATAAAATATAGAAAGACTGAAAGAAACTTAAGAGTTAAAAATTCTAAGCTATTTCTCTCAGTTCATTCATAGCAGCATAAGTCAGTAGGGAATAAGCATAATAATTCTATCCTGCTCAGGATCTGGGGAAATCCAAGTCATTGAAAGAAAATCACTAAGATGAAATATGCATTAGGAAGGCTGGATTAGAAATAACACTTCCTGGGCCGGCCCGTGGCTCACTCGGGAGAGTGCGGTGCTGATAACACCAAGGCCCCGAGTTCGGATCCCTATATAGGGATGGCCGGTTGGCTCATCGGCTGAGCGTGGTGCTAACAACACCAAGCCAAGGGTTGAGATCCCCTTACCGGTCATCTTTAAAAAAAAAAAAAATAACACTTCCTTTTTCCTTAAAAGTTTTTTTTCTTTAAAATAACTAAATATTTCACAACACCAAGCCAAGGGTTGAGATCCCCTTACCGGTCATCTTTAAAAAAAATAAATAAATAACACTTCCTTTTTCCTTAAAAGTTTTTTTTCTTTAAAATAACTAAATATTTCATAAATATGCAAGCAAATTTTAGGAAAAAATAAAGCTGTGTCACTGTCTCTCTGTGTGGCCCAGAGGAATGCCTGCTCTGGATGGAACTTACCAAGGAACACAAGCACAGTGCCCACCCACTGCATGGGGCTGATAGGATTGGCGAAGAGGATCACAGAGGCCAAAATGGTGAAGAACTTTCGAGTTGTGGTGATGATGGAGCAGGTCAGGGGGCCAAAATACACAACTGTCATGAAGATGAAGCTCTAGAGAGAGATAGAGAAAGGTAGGGTCAGGCTGATACTTGGGTATCTGACATGAGGTCTAAAGTCTGTAACAGATGTCAGAGCTAATCTTGTCACCCTTCTTCTCCCAGCCAGGCCGTTCTTGCTCAGGGAACTAACTGCCATAGTGGGGGAGCTAAGCGTTCCCTCTCAAGCACTCACCTGACCCAGGGCACTGGTCAGGCCAAAGAGCAGGATATTATAGATGATGGTAGGGTACCTTTCAGCAAAGCTCAGGAACAACCAGAGCTCCCCAGTGAACAGGATTCCTAGAAAGAAATGTCAAAAGATGAATGATGCATCTTGTGTGCCCATATCCACGTGTACACCCATGTGCAAACACATGGCCGGCTGAAGTACTGTAAAGGAGGGTGGGGCGTGGGAAAGTGTATGGGGTAGGTCTGTACTCTCCCATCATGCGTCTTTCTCATATTTTTTTCTGATTAGAGAAACTAACTAAAGACTCAATTTTGTTAGAAAGGCTTGAAAGTTAATGAGTCACTTCTACCAGAGTGGTTGAAAGCAGAGATCCTCAGATGGTGTAGAGATACTGACCCACACATCCCTAGCACAAGGAAGCCCCAAGCCTGGGTCACCTCCAGCCATCAGCAGCCTCCTCCGTTAAGCCCAGTGTGCTGTGCAAAAAATACTTTCTGCATGTGCCCAGACTTGAAGAAAGTTAGGAAGCACTGATTTCAAAGCAAATGTATTCATGATTGAACTGTATTCGGTGTACACCTAAGTCTGTTTCCTGTGAGCACTATACCAATATCTCATTTCCTTCTCGAGAGGGAAAGTTCGCAGATGCCCCATGTGTTTTACTACTGTGTGTCTTCCCATGATACCTGGCACAGTTCTACCCCTCATTGTGCTAGTAATAAGTAGCAAGCAGATCATGATGGTGCATGTTTTTAGCGACTTCGACAAAGCGGCAATTTGGAACTAATTCAGGCCCTTGCCCTGGGCAAAGGTAGCAACTGGCAGCTGAGCTAGTGATCAACTGGATGAGGGCAGTCTGCCCTCTGGTGAGACATGGAAAGAATAACAGAACTACTCCTTACCGGCTCCCAGCAGCAATGTTGACCAAAGGTTGACGTTCAACATCATGTGGTTGGAACCTGTTTGGTAATGAGCCCGCATGTGGTCCTGGGAAACACCCGTCAGTCCATCCAGGGTCAGAGACAACAACTGGGAAAGAAAAGAAGTAGCTTGCAGTGAGGTGGCCAACAGGGCCCCTCTCCAATCCAGGACACAGGATTCTCACCCTCCAGTTCCTTGGAAAGCTGTTGCCTTAAGATAGGATCTTCAGAACAAAATGCTGCCATTTGGTCATGGGTGGGTGTGAAGAGACCATGCTAGCACCCCCCTTCCCCCAGGCAGTAGACTGACAGGCTAAGTGAGCCACATAATTATACTGTAATTAGAGTAAAGAAAGAAGCCTACCACTTCCCAGCATAAAGCCTTGAAGCTGGTGTGCAGGGGCCTAAACACAGGCCATAGTGAGACATATATGTTCCTTCATTAAAGCTGGAAAGGTTAGCTCATTTGGTTAGAATGCGGTGTTATAACATAAAGATCAAGGATTCAGATCCCTGTACTGGCCAGCCGCCAAAAATAAGAAAATAGCTGTAGAGGGGAAATCTAGTCCCAGCAGGTTAGCTTCCTAGCTTGGAATATAGTGTTCCAGATATTGGATTCTGTTGTCAGACTGCCTGGACTAGAATCCTGACTCTTCCGCTAAAATAGCCATGTGACCATGGGTAGGTAACTTAACCTCTCTGTGCCTCAATTCCTTCACCTGTAAAATGGATATGACTACCTATGAGATTACTGTTGCAAAATTAATCAAATAATATATAAAACACTTGGAATAGTGCCTGATACATAAGCAATAGCTAATACTGTATTTTATTATTTTTTTTTTGGTTACTGGCCAGTGAATTTTATTATTCTTAACTCTGGTTTCCAGGTTTATTGGAAAGCCAGAGGGAGAGACATACTACTCCTTCCCTCTTTGTTCACAGGTCTCTGTGACCTCACATGAGGATTTAGACACATAGTTATCTCTTCCCCAGAAGAAGAGTTGAGCTGTAGTTAAATATTTCAGGCTTCCCAATATGGCCTTAGCAAAGGCAGAGACCCTGCAGCAAAGAGCAGAAATGAAGGCCCGGAGCACCACAGGTGCCCTCAAGACATATGACTGTCCTTCTGCCTGCCTAGGTGGGGCTGTCCTTTGGTTAAGTTTGCTGGAAAAGGCTACCTTCCCCAACAGAATCACATACCAGGAGCAGTTCTCCGTAGCCGACTGCATGTTCTTCCATCCCAACTACTCTCTTGGGTTTGTACATGAAAAGGGCCACTCCAGCCACAATTAGCAACACACACAGGTACTTGGCCAGTGGGTACTTCTTCTTCAAGAGGGTCACCCCAAGGAGCATGACTACAGGCAAAAAACAGAGTGGAAAATTCAGGTACCCACAGTTATTGATGGCCCCAACACCCTCCTCCCAGGAGCCAAAAAAAGATTCAGGCAGAAAAGAACATTTGAGAATGAAGGGCTATAGAGGCCAAGAAGGAGGGTGCCAGGCTGGTACCCAGATAAAAATGATTGAGCAACAGGATTGAGTATAAGTCAGGGAAAGGTAAAGAACAAGGGTGAAATGTCTTGGAAAGGGTAGCCAAACAGTGGGGAATAGAGGGGAAGGATGAGAAGTTGAGAGAAAGAAATTGATGATCAAGATAGGATTTAGTGTGTCTAGTAAGTCAGGGAAAGGTAAAGAACAAGGGTGAAATGTCTTGGAAAGGGTAGCCAAACAGTGGGAAATAGAGGGGAAGGATGAGAAGTTGAGAGAAAGAAATTGATGATCAAGATAGGATTTAGTGTGTCTAGTGACAATGTAAACACATGGCACACAAAATGACTGAACATGTGAAGCAGACTAAGTCAGCCTATAGCTCCCATTAAGGATTACCAGCCTATGAACACTACGGGAAGTGACAGATGACAGGTGGACAGAGGGAAGGACTGGAGGAAAGTCCCTGGAGATAGCTATGATGTGACGATGAAGCCCAGAGGATTCTGGCAGAGGAAGAGAGAGCTTACTACAGGAAGAGTGGGGACAGAAGATGGAGACCATCTTCTTCTGCTTACCTGGGATTGGCTTGCAGGATTTACCAAGGACCTGAAATTAAATTCAGCAAATAATTTCTGAGCATCTGTGATGTGCCATGTACTATGCTAGGTGCTGCATTGATTAAGATGAGTAAGTGTAGAGCCTGCACCAGGGATCTCAGCCTCAGAAAGCAGCCCTTTCATGGCCCAAACCACCGCCACTAAACCCCAGTTCTATGGTTCCATACACTCTGAATTTCTCAAACACACTCTCCCAGGGTTGTTATCTTTTTATTTAAGTCACAGACCTGAGGAAAAAAAACCCTTAGTCTTTTTCAAACAATTTCTGAGCCAACCCTCATTCCACCCTGAGGTTTCACCTGAGTTGGGTAGTTGACAAACTGTAGTGCTGAGTTGCTGGAGACCATAGCACCCAGATAGGAGACAGAACAGGCAGCATAGAGCCAGCTCCGAGTACGATCCACCCTGGCAGTGTCAAAAAACTGGATCACTGGCAGAAGACAAAAAAACAAACAAACAAACAAAAAAAAACATACAAGAGAAACCTGGTGGGGCTAGGATGGACCACTAAGCAAAAGTTGAAGCCACGGGAAAGGAACCTGTCTGTCAAATAAGACACAAATTATTTCTGTCCTCTTAGACTGGGAAATTTCTGAAAATTATTCAACTCTCCAGTTCCACCTCAGCCTAACACAAACGCACATGTAGGGCAGAGGTGGGGGCCTCATTCAGTTCGAGGGACACTTAGCCCTGCTGCTACTCCCCATGGAACAAAGCTCAAAACATACTTGAAGCTGACACTTAAAGGAAAGTCAAAGGGACAAAAAAAAAAAAAGTTTTAAGTATTCTCATTGGGGATTTGGAACACAGAAAAGCCATTCTCTGCACGCTTCTGACTCAGAAGTTGCTCTAATTTAAAGACATAATATTTTACCCCACTTCAAAGTCATTACTTTTACAGACTGCACAGAGAGGCTGTGTAAGTACTAAAGGGGGTGGAAGTCATGAGGGTTAGACCTTAGGGTTGAATCAATGCTTAATGCCCAGGATACAGAGAAGATGTGGGTGGGACCCAACAAATTACTATCTAGGTACTCACAGATCTTGGCAAACACAGCATTGATCACACATTGGATGAAGACCAAAGTTAAGGCAAAGGTAAATGTCTCCTGCTTGGCTCCCTCCCCATACTTTCCTCTTGTTCTAAGAATGAAATGCATGAGAAAGAGAGGGGAGAAATTAGTATATTTCACTGACTGTCATCTAGCATGTCCAGAATCACTGAAAGCTTTAAAATTATCTTGCCTGTCTGGATGTAAGGTAAGTTCGTAAGGCTCGTTGGGCTCATTTACAAAAAGGACTGATAATACTGGATCTAGAAACCAGATATCCCAACCTGCTGATTCCATAGCCTAGGGAAAGAATATCCATAAAGGATGGAGCTAGAAGAAACACGGAAAATTACATGGTGAAACCAGGCAGGAGAAGATGATGTCTGGGCTACGGCAGCATGCCCAAGGGCTAAAGAGTAGGCCGTCTACTAGCATTTGGGAGTTCCAAAGAGGAGCCGTCTTAGGTCATGGAAATCAGCCGGGGGTATAAGTTTCAGCCTGTAAAAATCAAGTCCTCAGAACCAACAAGGGGAAAACAGCTAAGAGAAGAGAAATAACCAGGTTCCGAGCATCCAGAAGACAACTCTGGCATTTTGGAGTTCTGGAGAGGTTCAGCCGCTGCTGCAGAGGTTGCAGGCTGCTGGGAGGGCGACACAGCCGGTGGGGAGGACAGAGAGGAAAGCCCAGGACCGGGGGCAGGAGGCCACAGGCTGGGGAGAGCGAGCTGGATGGAGGGAATGTCTGCGTTCCCACACCGAGGGTCTACTCACATCTTTTCCTGCAGGATCCCATAGTAGAAATAGCAGACAAAGACGCCTAGGAAGCAGAGAGGCAGGCGCAGCCGGTCGGGCACCAGGGAGCTGCTAGCGGCCATGAGTCGCCCGGACGAGCCGACCGGAGACCCGCTCACAGCTGGCAGCGGCAGCGGCGGCGGGGGCAACAGTTCCAGCCGCACATCGCCGACCGGCATCAGGGGCCTCATAGAAGCTACATGCGACCGCTACTCAGGAGGGCCCAGCAGTCACCGCCAGAACTGCCAGCTCATGGCGGCCGAGGGGGAAAGTCCTCAGAACCTAGCAACCGCTTCCTAGGAAAGAAGACCCGCCCTGAGGCCTTGGCTCCATTTCTGGTGGCTCCAAGAGCCAGCTTCCTGGAGATTAATCTCTCGCTTTCGAGATTTTCCGATCAGGCACGTCCGAGGACAACTACAATCCTTTGTTCGACGGGGTGGCCTAGGAGATACCCGGACGTGGAGTGTGACGTATAAGGACGTGGAGGTCACCAATTGGCTGGGCTGTGTGAAGACGGACAGGTGAGCGGGCAAGGAGGCAGTGCAGCGGGCAGAGCAAATCAAATCGTCTTTTTCCGGGTAGGCAGTCAGGCTTCTGCTGGGTCCTAACGCCAGGAAACTCCCAGTGGAGCCTCAGCGCCCCCTAGCTGCTGCCCAGCGTCAGCGACTCTACCCGCTTTGGAGAGCAGTCCTCACGTACATCACTAGGCTTGCAACGCGGAGAGCGCCACAGTAAGACTCTGCTAGGTCAGAGCTCTTGTCCCAGCTCTATCACTTACAAGCAGGGTAACCTACGCGTGTCACCTAAATTCTGAGCCACAGTTTTCCCAGTCTGTAAACTAGCGATAATTAGTAACAGCCACCCTGTTGCCTCTCGAGTGTTCTGAGGATCAAATGAGCTGAAGTTTGTGAAAGTGTTTTATAAACTGTAAAGTGTGCTGCACAAGTTTAAAGTATTATTAGTCATTATTCTTTCTCAACTCTGATCTTATTTTTTCACACCCTGGAGGTGGAAATGGAAGCTTATTAAAGTGAATTTTCTTCAAGGATTTACAACTTGCCAACGATGGAGCAAACCCTTTGGCTGCCCTCTAGATTTTTTCCCGTTAATCAGCTCCTCGTTGGACCCCTTCCTCATCCAAGTGTTGGGTCTCCACCTGCTGGCACAAATTGCTAGGGCAAGATTGACCCCAGGTCTTTCCACTACCACTCCCAAACCCCCACTTGGTAAATGGCCCAAATCTCAGGAAGCCTGTTTGGACTGTGGGCTGCTATCTGGGTAGAGGCTCCTTCCTTTCCAGCAGCCTGCTCCTTTGGCACAGCCTCAGGCAAAGGAAGGAAACACTGGGCAGCACCACACCCATCACTCCCGGCCTGACTCACTAAGGTTTCGGGGGCAAGCCAGGCATCTTTCAGGGAGAAGGGATAGGAGATAGGGTTTGTACCCAGCCCATGGTCTCGGAGGATCCCCACACATTTGCTCTCTTGCCTGGTGGCTTATTCTACTAAATCAGCCTGTGATTCCAGGGCCCCAAATAGCAGCTGGGGTGAGAGACCTGGGTTCCAGTCCCAGCTCCACCTCTTTACCAGCTGGGACATCAAACAATTCACTTGACCTGAGTCAAATTTCCTCATGTGAAATTAATGGAAATTTAATAACAAGCAGGAGAGGGCTGTGGTTAGAAGCATGGGCACAGGATTCAAATGATCAGGTTTCCAATCCTAGCTCCCCCACTTTGTATCTGTGTCTTTTGGGGCAAGTTGTTCAATCTTTTTGTCTTTCCCTCATCAGTACAATGGGACTTATCACATTTTTCTCATTGAGTGGTTGTCATATTTCAATGATATTTTGTGTAAAGCACTTAATATATGTTTTTGGTGCTTACCAAGCCAAATAGTTGGGAATAACCTGGCTTTGCAATTTGTCCTGAGGTCTTATAAGACAGATACAATTGTACTTGTTATGACTGTCCTTGGGGTAGTCAACTTTTCACCCATAGAATAGGGATAATATGTCTCTTGTTAAAGTGCTTTGTAAATTCTAAAACACCATCAGAATGCTGGGATAGTTATTCCCATTTTCCCCAAAAGCCTGAGCTCTCACAGGTGCAGCAGTATAAAGCTGAGATGTTGCAAAAGGATAAGATCAGTTTCTTTGTACCCTCCAAGGCTGCACACTGTGTTGTGGGTACTCACTGAGATGGGAGGAATATCTGAAAGGGCCTAAAGCTTTTCTAAACTATGCCAAGTGATTCAACCTGAATGCTAGTCCCTGGTTTCAATCCCCTTGCCAGTGCAGGGAGCACCCACAATGTCAAACTGTACCCCTTGGTCCCCCTCATTTCCTCTTTGAAATCCAGTCTCCCTAGGAGGCTTCTTCAGATTCACACGAATGGATAATTTCCCCAATGACTCCCTCACCCCACTTCCAGGACACACCACACTTTTCATTTGGGAAGACTGTTCTTAGTTCTACTGCTTATATGTCCATGTAGAGTACAAGCATGATATCCAGAAGACAGGAATTCTGTGTCCATCCATACAACACCCAGATCCACTAATTAATGTTAACCAAGGGCTCCTTCTCTTGAAGACAAAGATGAAGTGATCAATACAATATCCTCAATCTCCACCCCACCCATCCTACCCCACATATTTAATAGAACCTAAAGCTGCTGGGAATACTTATTTATTTATTTGGTCTATTAACATCAAGATCTGCAAAAAACAACCTCTAAACACAAGAAAAGAAAACTCGAACATTAACATTCTTCTTCAATTTTGTGTAAGCTCTGCAGTACGGAAAATATACAAACTTCAAACAGCTGCAAAAATAGTGTCTTTGGGAGAAAATAGAGTTTCTACATTGATACAAGAAAAATAGGCATTTTTCTAATCCAACCCAGCTCTGGGGCAGGTGGAGAGTATAGAGTTGCCATTTGCCACCTGGAGGAATGCCAGCTGTCCCGCACCCCCACTACCCACCTGGGGCTGGGCAGGCTGGGCTGCTGCTTAAGACAATCTTTAGTCAGGGTGAAAGCGAGATGAAAATGCCACTTGGGAAAATGCCTGGTTCCCCCCCAGCCCGCAGCTTTATTGGTCAAGTGTTATGGCCCTTCAGGGCTGCTTTGGTCAGCTCCTCCAATGAGGAGGCATGGGGATGGGGGCTGAGAGGATGGGGGTTTCTATCTTCTGGTCTCCTCTTCTGTGTCTGTTGAGGAGGAAAGGGAAGAAAATCGGTGGCGTCCCCTCTCCTTCCATCACGGCCAGTTTGCTCCATGACAAGGACAAGGGCCTCCTATACAGTCATTTGGACTCACATCCCAGGGAGGGTGACTCAGAACCTTCTGGGTGAGTTTTCCACCAAGTGAGGGAAGTGGCAGGTACACAGGTGTGAGTCGTGAGCTGCCCAGCTGCTAGTGGAAAAGGCAGGTCCCCTCATATTCAGAGGGGCTGGTGTCCATCAGAAAGAGGACCTGGGGCTTTGACACAATAAATGAAAGTGCTTGAAGGCCGAGAGGGAAGGGCTCCTCCATCCCCCGTCTCAGGGGAGCTAGGGAGGGGCCTGCCACCAAGGCACTGGTCTCCATGGTGAAGGGGAAAGGGAGGGATTCTCAGACCACCAGGGAGCTCTGGAAAAGCACGGGCTCTTCTGATGGTGGGGTGCGCTGCCATGGCTCAAATGGCAGTGGGGAAGCCTTGGAGGCCTCTAGATCCTTCCGAGGTGGTGGCCTGGGGCTGGCGGGAGGAAGGGGAGACCCCGGGCTTGAGGGGCAGTTACGGAAGATGAAGCCCATGCTGGGGAAGAGGGGCTTCATCAAGCTGACAGGGCAGAAGGCTGAGCCGGTCGGGTTGAAATGGACTTTGTTCTTGTCAGGACAGGAAGTCAGGAAGGCCAGGTCAGGACCTGGAGACCTGGAAGATGGAGAGAGATACACAGACACACACGTACATGCATAGAGAAACAGCCAGTGAGAGAACGGTGAGAGAGATCACGGTGTCAGGGTGGCAGGGGAGCTGGGTCTCTGTTCAAACAGGATGGTAACTTGACCAAAAAACATAAAGCTACAAACAGTCTTTAGGCCCCTCAGCTCTTTATTTTTTAAAAATATGACTAAACAACAGTAAATACACTTTGGCTAGAAACAGGAGGGATTGAAGCTAAACAGGAAGGAGAACTTCCTGACAATGTGACTCTGGAGGAGGAGACCAAGGGATCTTTTCATTTGAAAGATTTCATCAGTGAACAGTGTTTTGGGGGCAGGCCACTTACCTAAAAGCAGAGATCCAGGCAAAGTGACTTTCTAAGGCTCTGTAGAGCCTGAAGCAGGGTTTCTCAGCCTTAGAACTACAGACATTTTGGGCTGGATAATTCTTTGTTGCAGGGTGGGGTGGGGGTAGGGGTGTGCTGTCCTGTGCACTGTAGGATGTTTAACAGCATCCCTGGCCTCTACCCACTAGATGCCAGTAGTACCATACCCCCTCCCCCACCCTTTTTGTTAGACAACTAAAAATGTTTCTTGACATTGCTAAATGTCCCCTTGGGGGCAAAAATGTCCCCCATTGAAATCCATTGGCTTAAAGAATCTAATTTTTGAGCACTTGTGAAAGGCAAGATTTTCAAAACTTTTGCTGGGAGGAAAGGATAGCAACAGCTATGAAAAAGGCAGCTAAACCTTACCGGAAGATCAAGGTTCTAACTCACCATGTGGTCTTGGCCACATCTGTCTCATCTTTAATGTGGGAAGAATCATCCCTACCTTTCTGATCATTTAGGGAAAATGGAAGGATAAAAAGAGGTTGGGTCAGAGAGTTCCTGAGTAAGGAATCCTTATGATAAAAAAGAAGATTATCTGGCCATGCTTAGAGGATTGTGAGATGCTCTGGTTGTGAGGATTCTGGATGAGAGGACAAACATGTGGGATGGTGGTGAGGTTCTGTCACTAATGGTTCCCAGCAATTCCCTCTTTCTTTCTTTCTTTTTTTTTCTTTTATTTTGGGGATGGGGTGGGGGCAGCTGTCTGATACAAGGATCTTAACCCTTGACGTTGGTGTTGTTAACACTGGGTTCTGACTGAGCTAAGCAACCTTTTATTGAAGTATATACACAGAAAAATACTCAGTGTACAGATTGGTAAATTGACTACCATTTTAATTCTAGTATTTTAATAATTCCAAAGCCCAGGAAAAAGAGCAAGGTGTGAGGAGAAGGCAGAGATCTGGCACAAAATGGGAAGAAGGCGAGGGTGGTGAAAAGGAAGGCCTGGGGTCCCAGAGACTCCACAGTGGCAAGGTGTCCCCTGACGCAGAAGGGTTTAAAAGAATCCCACTTTATAGGAAGGTAGGGAATGAGCAGGAGAGGGAATGTTCTGGGTGTGTGTGTGTACATGTGAGGAAGGTGACCAAGAGGAGACCAAGCAGCTCTCAAAGAACATGAGACAACCAGTATAACCCTCAACGGCTCGATCCTTGCCTGGGAAATCCAGGCGATCTTAGAGGGGTCAGCAGCTAGGAAAATGGGCCAAAAAAAGCCGCTAAGCACAAGAACTTCCCAAAAGGGAAGTTGATAAAATAAAGAGACCCCAATGAGCTGCAGAATTTCAATCCCAAGATATCTTAGAAAATAGTGGATGGATCACCATCTCTCTTAATGTGTTAATGCGAGGCAGGATGAGATGGTACGCCTTTAGGCCTCTTCTGGCACTACAAGTCCATGACAATCTCAAGACAAGGAACAGCCTAATTTCCACCAGCATTTCCGGGTTGTAATTACTCAACTATAATGTGGGTTGAGAGAGGGAGCAAGAGCTCAGAGTCTGCTGAAGCTACAAGGTCTGGCCTCTTCCTCCTACAAGTCCTCAAAGGACCCAGGGGTCTTGAAGGGACACCAGGTAACAGTGATGATAGTGACACCACCCCTGGTGACTACAGCTTTCTCTGTCACTCTTACTCTGGGTTATATTTTTACCTTTGACTACCACCGTGGGTTATCCTCTCATTTCACATGCAAATGGTGCCCTCAACACCCAGAACCCAGCCCCAGCTAAATCTTCACTCACACACCATGACTGAATTTCCTGACTGCCACTGAAACCACAACTTCCAGTGTGAATCTGTCAGGGGAAGTATTAATCTGGCAGGGGAAAATGAAATGAGCTCTATGGTGCCTGCTAAGGGCAGGCAAATGGAAAGGTTGGCTCTCAATTCTCTCTGCTAATGGGAGGGAATTGTAAAGAAATCACCAGAAGAAAGGCTTCTGTATTATCCAATCTGGTTTAGGAATATTCCACAGTCTTTACTTGTAAGGACTGGACATTTCTGGGAGTTCATGACACTTTGAGCCACTACAGCCACAGGGTGAAGACTTGACTCCGAAGCAACTGGAGAGATGTTTAGGCTCCCCATTCTACTGCAGTGGGGGTGCAACACCTCCAATAGCTGAGTGAAGAGAACTACTAGTACATTCTCTCTCCCTCTCTCTCTCTCTCTCTCTCTCTCTCTCTCTCTCTCTCTCTCTCTCTCTCTGATTACGGTCTAGCAAATTCTCACACCTTCCTCGGGGATGGAAAAAAATAGAAGAAACAAAGGGCTTAGGTTTCAGATATATTTTCTTTCCAGCTCCTGCTGTGCTTGTGGCTGGCATGTGGGCAGAGAGCAGGTTTCTATGGAGATAATGATAAGCAAAGATTTAAGTGCTCAGAGTAGGTAATGTCAACAAGTTTGATCGTGGAAAAACTGCAATGCTGATAATCTAAAGGTGACAACACCTCTATGACAAGAGAGAGTGCAAAGACTGAAGAAGGGCCTGTCAGGTGGAATAACATAGGGCTCCCCCTCCACCTTGCGCCTCCCTCCCATGCCCTGTCCACTTGATGTACTCACATGGCCTCTTCAAACACACGCACTCTCTCACAGCCTTCTGGAGGCTCGCGTTTGAAGACATAGCTGTGATTGGGCCGAGGGGAGGCAGCAAACGCAAGGACTGGAGAGGGGCTGCCATCTTCGAGGAGGTGGTGGCCTGGAGAGGAGACTGCAAACAGAGCAAAGCTGAGTCCAGTGGGGATGCAGGGAAGGCCTCTACTCTCCACAGCTCAGGCCTTGGGTAGCAAGAGTGAGGCTGGGAGACACATGGTAAGGTAGGTGGCAATGGTTATGCTAATCGTTTGTGTGTTTATACTTTACCTTAAAAAAACGTTTGAGGCAGCTTACAAAAATACATAGCATATAAAAGAATAAAAAAGCATAGCTGAATGGATGGGAAAATAAGGTGCATACCAACTCTGTATTCCCAGGAAGTAGGCTGGGACTGAAACTCCAAAGCTCAGCCTTAAAGGAATCCTAAATGCTGTCTCTCTCTGCTTTCTTCCAAGACTGCAACCCTTTGCCAGCCAACATACCACAGCTTCTTCCTTTCCACAGTCTTTAAAATCTATCCCTTCCTCCAGGAAGAACTCTGGTACTGACTCAGAGAAGCAATCTTTACTCAACCCCACTTGCAGGATAAAATTCCTCTCACTTTCTACACAGCAAATGTACTTTGCTTAGGTCGCAAATATTGACTCTATCTGTATTTATCTCACGTGTATTCCTTCTTACTCTATGCTCCATTTACTTCTGTGTATTGTTAGATCATGCCCTTGACCATCCTACCTAACAGGGTTGCTGTGAGAGTCAAATCAGATGATGCAGACAACAGTGTCTTATAATGCAGGGATCGTTATTAGGAGGTAGGAATCATGTCTCATTCTCTTCGTGAAGCAGCCAGGGAACACAAAAGTAGAGATTTGGAGTCAGAAATTTTGGGTTTCAGTCTGGGTCAAACTGTGTGACCCTGGGCAAGAAACACATTCTCTTATTTTGTATCATTCGCAATCACCTTGCAATCTATTGCTGGTAATGAGTACAGTAGACATCTAAATTCACTGGCTTTCTACTATAGCATGCTGGACTGGCCAAAAAATGGGATAGGAGGGATTGCTTCTTTGGATTCCAGTAACAATTAAATAAAAGTATAGATGCATAGACTTTATAAACCGTAAATGCGAATATTATGTCAAGAACCATATTATAGGGACTGGCCCGTGGCTCACTTGGGAGAGTGTGCTGCTGATAACACCAAGGCCACGGGTTCGGATCCCTATCTAGGTATGGCCGGTTAGCTCACTTGGGAGAGCATGGTGCTGACAACACCAAGTCAAGGGTTAAGATCCCCTTACCAGTCATCTTTAAAAAAAAAAAAAGAACCATATTATTATTGGTATAATTTGCAGAATAAAGATGACTCATAAAGCTATTCTAGTTGGTTAGTAGGTAATAATGTTGGGCTTGAAATTGGTTAGAGGTGGAAAAGGGATGTAGCCCACTCTGCTGCCTCAGCCTCGCGACTCACCTTTGTCATTGGGGACGCATGCCAGCTCCTCGATAGCACCCCGGTGTTCCTCATGGCTGGCCCGGCCAGAAGGCTGGGGGGATGCCAAGGGCATGGAGGGAGAGCTGGCAAGGTTGCCAGGCTCCAGGAGGAGAAGGGGATGGTCACAGCTGCCACTCTGGGGAGGGGCAGGGGCCCGGTGCCCATCAGGGATCTCGAGGATCTGACGAGGAAGAAAGACTCTCAGCCCTGGGGCTTTTCAAGCCTGCGGTACTGCAGTGACCCAGAGGGCCCCTGACATTCTTCTTGTCCTCTATTCAGAACACCACTTCCCAAAGCCATTTATTTCCCTGACTACCCCTCAATCTAGGAGAAACCCCTCCTGCTTCTCCTACTGCACTTGTTCTTTTCCCTCAGGGCACCTGCAGTCCAGTTTATAATCACATATTCTTTTGTACGGCTTGATCGATGTGTCATCCCCACCAGGCTATAAGCCTCATGGGGGCAGGGACCTTCTGCGTGCTGGGCTCTGGAAACACAAAGATGAATAATATATGCAGGGGGTACAATAGGGACAAACCACCAGGACACAGTAAGTACTGTAAGCCTTTGCAGGACAAGTCTGCAGATGATTACCTTTTTTTCTTTGATTGCCCTTTTTAAACATTCAGTGGTACTTGTACCCATGGCTCACCAAATTGTGTGCATGTGTTTGGGTGTATATAAAATCCTACATATAGTATAATCAGATTAAAAATCAACCAGCAGCTAAATCATAAACTGGGGAGTATGCCCATTAGAATTATATTAATACCACCCAATTGGCATTCCCCAATTATACTTTGTCAGTATAAAAATGTGCCTGAGTACAGAAAAGGTAGCTGTAATTCAGCCTGGGAGTGGGTTGGGGAGAAGGCTGCACAGGGGCAACCAGGCAGAGGGATGAATGTGTGTCACCAGGTGGAGATGGAGGGAGGGAAGTAGTATTACAGGCGGCATGAACCGAGGCACTGGTGGGTGCTCGTGCCAAGGATGCAGGGAACGGCGAGCTGGTAATTTGGCTGAAGAATGATGTCCAGCCCATTCCTCGCAGCTGGGGACCCTCCTCTGCCAATCCTTGCTCCTTTTTCTAATCACCACTCCAAAGCTTTCTCCAGTTACACCCACTTATCTCTGCTGTCCCTGTGGTTAAGTCCATTGGAGACTAATAAACTCCATTTGTGTTCGTTCCTTTTGCAGGCTCGAGTTTGTATATTACCGTTTATGCAGCCACAGCCCATGAGGCTCTGGAGAGCAAGCCTCCCACGTCCCCTCGTGCAGGCTCGGTGAGAGGCGGGGTCAGCGCACTCAGGGCGTGGCCGCCACTCACCCTCAGCAGCTCCTCTTCACCCTGCTCCTTCACAAACACCTCCTCCAGCTCTTGGTTGAGTCCTTCCAGGCTTCTGTGTAGGCAGGGGCTGAGTCGCAGGACAGAGGACTCCGAGGGGAAGCTGGGAGGGGACGCCTGAGGAGGAGGCAAATGAAGCAGTCACGTGCAACCCCACCAAGCACTGTGCAGTTGTCAGTTCTGACCAGAGGCAGTGGTCATGTCTACACAGCAGAACCAAATGAATAAAGGATGATTTGGAGATAGTCACAAATTGCCATCGGCCCCTTCAGTGGGGTTTTCTCCAGAAGTTGCAGCTCTGAGAGGTCTAGCATGTGCTTTCAGAGTCATTGCCTCAATTGTACAGGGGTAAGGGTAGAGGAGAGAAAATTCAGAACAGCAAGAAGCCCTTCCAATGTCACTCCTCAAGTCCAAGTTTGGACTAAAGTTTCACAAAGCATGCAATGTAGTAAGGCTCAGGAGCTGCAGGACCCAAGACAGCTCTGCTCACACAGGGGAGTCTACCATGGAGGAAGACAATGGGGAGAGGGTCAGAGGAGAAAACATACCCTCAGTGCTCCCCGCACTGCGTGGTCCCCTTGGAGTGGGGAGCCCCGCTCCTTCTCTTTGCTGCTGCGGCTCAGCTTCGTCCTCTGCAGTTGTTGCTTCAACTTGGTGATCTAGCAGCCCAGAGACAGGGAGGAGAGGCTGTGATGCCAAGCAAAAGTTCTCCAGGCCCCTCCTCCCAGGTGTGGCCCCTGCCAGAGGCCCGTGAAGATACATGAAAGGGAGATGGAAGTTAATCTTCCATCTCAAAATAGTTCAGTGGTAAACAATGTGATGATAGGTTCCTCAAACAAGGTGGATACCTTCCTAACTAGACCATTTGATTTTTTGAATTACCATGCCTTCTTTAGATGGATCAGTTTCCAAAAAATTAAAAATACGCAACACTGAAACCATTTTGTCTTTCAGAGATTCCAAAGGCATGGAATACTACTCTATTAATAGCTATGGAAGATGACGTTTCTCAATGCTGATGGCAGTTCACTCCTCTACGTACATGCGCAACTATCTCAAGAGCCCCGAGATCAAGAAGGATGAAAATATTCTCCCCCATTTTATTTTACTTTTAAAATTTGTTTGTTTGTTTGTTTTAAAAGATGACCGGTAAGGGGATCTCAACCCTTGACTTGGTGTTGTCAGCACCACGTTCTCCCAAGTGAGCTAACCGGCCATCCCTATATAGGATTCGAACCTGTGGCCATGGTGTTATCAGCACCACACTCTACCGAGTGAGCCACGGGCCGGCCCTATTCTCACCCATTTTAAAGGAGACTATACCAAATAAGGATAAGCTTTCAAGGAGGAATATCAGATTTCATCTTGACTTCCATATCCTGGAACAATTACAGTTATCATCAATAATTTTGAATATTATCCCTGTCACATTTGTAATTCTGGACCTTCTTGCCCTCATCTGGCAAATGCTCAGGAGATGCAGAGCTAGTTAAATATGAGCCTAAACGAAATGGAATTCAGAGAGTAGATCTGCTGCTCTTAGCCTTGCCATTTATGAATGTAGCCGAGAAGGAAGTGCTGTCAGATTTAATGTTGTGGATTGCTCACACCGTGATTCCCCACCCTTAGTGTGAATAACTTGCTTACTCTGATCACCGAAATATTTATTTCCCCAGTCTTACACTCACAGTGCATCCCCTTCATATTTTCTCATTGTTTTCTGTAACAAGGAGAGCAGAAGCAACTTCCTCTTGTAAAGGGGTTGAGGGTGAGTCCTAGCAAGTTGTTCCTCTCAGGAGGAGCTGGTTTGGGAGCCCTGGAATTCTAGCCTGGCTTTCTCTACTCAGCCTCAATGACTTTAGCCCTCCTGAAGGAGAGGGAGGGCCAGGAAAATGTGTTTGGGAACACATCATTATTTTTCTCTTTTAAAAATCAGGCTGGATGAATAGTTAAGTAGTAAATGAAGTTGAGGGCTCCCAAATCCCAGGAACTCACTCCCTGTCTTCCCCCAGCCTCTGAGCTGCTTATCTGGATCCAACCTCAAAGTAAAGTGAGAATAACAGTGGTTCCAACCCTGTGCCAGCAGTCACTGGCCAAGCCCTTCCCTAACAGGAGGGTCTGGGCTCCCCTAAGAACTGACCACAAGGAGTGGGGGGAGTCGCATTGAAGGAGCCATCTCATCAGGAAAAGGCTAGGAGGAGGCAAGTGAGACTAGGAGCATGATTCCACTTTGGAGCAGATGCATCACCTGGTGCTGGGGGACGAAGAGGCAGCTTGCCTAGCCGGGCAGTCAGAAAGGGCAGTTACCTCTTTCCGGTGGTCTGTGCTGCCCCAGGATGCTGAGCGCTTATGTGTGCAGGAGTTGGCCTGCTCACCTTCTAGCTCTTGCCAGGACAGAGGGGTCTGCAGGGGGAGAAACATAGTGAGTTACGGCAGCTTCTCGGGCAGGCACTGGGGAAGCAGACAGTTTCCTGGTAGAGGTGGTGGCCCTTTCAAGGTTCTCTCACCTGCTCATCAACCTCCTGAAAACTCCCAGCCTGTTTTGTTCCAGGCTTCTCAACCTGCACTGCCTCCTTACCAACTCACATCCTCCAGGAAACCTTCTCTGATGACTCGATAGGGCCAACCTCCTCTTTACTCTTTTATGAATTTTATGTGTGTATTCCAGATGCTCCCCAATGGTGACAACAAGTATTGCCCTTCCTATCCCAACCAGCTCCAAAAGAGCCTGGCCTCAGGGAATCACTGGCATTCTTTATTCTTTCACCCTGTGTGTGGCTAGCACAGGCTCAAGCTCCTAGGAGCCCAATGAAAACAAGTTGATGGACAGGACTCCATTAAGGAATTATTAAGTGGTAAAACTGGAGAAAGGTCAACATAGGTCCCCTCAGCAAAGCAGGAGACTCCTGTATCGTGCAATGCCTCAAACTTGTTCCTTAATTTTTCCCCGAACACAGAATAGGTGTTGGGGGCCCTAAAGTTCTCCCAAACCAAGTAGGGAGGACACACTTTCAGAAAGGAAGAGGCCAGAATTTTGAACCCAGCCCTGATTTTTGACCCCTTATGGCCTTATCACTACTCCTCCTGGGCCCTGTCCTGCCCCTTGGGAGAACAGGGCTCTCAGTCTGCCACCCTCCCTCCCGCCTGCATGGAAGACTGAGGGCCCAGAATGGAGGCAGGGAGAGCTGTAGAACCACTTCCTGAGCCCCCACCCAAGGGAGGAAGTTGTTGGCTCTAAGCATGAAGCCAAGAGGCCCAGATCCCTTCCCACCACCAATATCCCTACTTCCATTCCAAGGGGGGGCCTGGGGGGAATGCTCCAGTGGAACCCGTTCCTCTCTAACTTCTTTGCACAAGCTGCCAAAGGCACAAGGGCCTGGGAACCATCTCCTCCAAGAGATCTGCTGACCTCCCTCAAGAGGCTGCTGCAAACAGAAAAGGGGGAGGATAAGGGAGGAAAAACAACTACTCACCACCCAACAGCTGCTACGAGGAGCTGGGCGGGGGCAGCATGAACAGGACTGTAAGAGTGGACTGCCATGTGTGACAGCTGTAGCAGAGAGAGGCCACTGGGGACTAAGTCTCCCTGACTCTTCCTTCTCCCAGCTGCCCACTGATCAGAACATGTATGTACTGAGCTGTGCGACATAGCCAGGGTGAGACAATGCCCTAACTTCCTTGTCCTGATGTTAGCATCACAAAGAGGACATCCAGAGAGCCATTCTCCCACAGTTCCCTCCTTTCAGAAAAGGACAGGTAGCACATCCTTCAGGACCATATCTTGGGCACAAACCCCAAAGCCCTAGAGGTGAAGCTCTGACAGTATATGAAGACCAAGCAGCTGGTCTACTTCCACATGCTTGTGTCTCTCTAAAGCAAGGTGTTATCAGAGAGCACCTCAAAAAAGGCTTCTGCACATACTGAAAAGTGAGTGAGGAAGCCCATTTCTCCCATAGCCCCTTCAGCCCAGCAGACACATGAACAGTTCTCCCTTGCCAGGGCTCCACAGCCAACCCTATAGATTACTAGCTCTGCTGATCAAACCACTGCATCTCACAGAAGTCTGCTGTCCCTGGAAAGGTAGCAGAGGCTATAGAGGAGGGATGACAGAAGCTAAGGTGACGATGCCCATTTTCCCTCCTACCAGAACATACTGAACTCACAGGTGGATGGCGCGAAGTAGGAAAAACAGCCACACATGCAGGCTGCCATCTCTTGCAAACTCTACCTTCTTTCTTCTGGAACACGTGAGGGGGTGGAAGGAGATATGTAGGCTAGCATAGGGTTTAGAAAGGACGTGAAGGGCCGAGCCCGTGGCGCACTCGGGAGAGTGCGGCACTGGGAGCGCAGCAGCGCTCCCGCCGCGGGTTCGGATCCTATATAGGGATGACCGGTGCGCTCACAACGCTCAATGGCTGAGCGCAGTGCGGCCGGTCTCAAAAAGGACAAAAAAAAAAAAAAAAGAAAGGACGTGAAGATCATGGGAGCTAGGATCATCTTCTCTCTATCCATTTCACCCCAGCTCTCTCTGCTCAGCAACATCCTCAACCATTGCCTACTCTGTGTAAACTACCAAGGCCATTGCTTTGTCTCAACACTCACCCCCTGGCCATAGATATCACCATCTGACCCTTTATCCCACAGACTCTCTCTCTATACTTGGCTCTCTGTCCTACCCAGGCAAACCCTTCTCCATCTCCTTTTTCTTACCTTACCCCCTAACCTCTAAGCCTGGTCTCCCCATCTAAGATGGCTTGCCCTACCATTCCCAGTCTTCCCGTCAGGGAGCCTTTCCCAACTTGTTCACCTCATGCTGATGGCTCCTTAGCTCTGTGTCTCCTCTGTGCAGATGGGCCCAGGGTATACATCACTCACACATTCAAAAATAGCTATGAATGCATACTGTGTGCCAGGAACTGCTCCAGGTACTGGGGACACAACAGTGCACAAAATAAAAATCCTTGTCTCCTCTGAGTTTATGTTCTAATTGGGGACACAGCTTAAACAGTGACAAGTGCTAAAGAGAAAAATACAGCAAAGAGAGGGGATAGGAATGCTGGGCATGGGGGACACAACTTGAAATGTTGGAGAGGTCCAAAATGAGAAGGCGATATCTGAATAAAAACATGGAGAAGGTGGGCCAGCCCGTGGCTCACTTGGGAGAGTGTGGTGCTGATAACACCAAGGCCACGGGTTCAGATCCCTATATAGGGATGGCCGGTTGGCTCACTTGGGAGAGCGTGGTGCTGACAACACCAAGTCAAGGGTTAAGATCCCCTTACCAGTCATCTTTAAAAAAATCATGAAAGCTGAATAAAACTTATTCAATAAAGCACTATTCTTTAAAAAAAAAAAAAAAACATGAAGAAGGTGAGTGAAATCTGAGATGAGAACGATCCAGACAGAGGGAACAGCAAGTGCAAAAGCCCTGAGGCAGGAGTGAGCCTGGTGTGTTTGAGGACGTTAGGAGACCAGTGTGGCTGGAGCAGAGTGAACCAGGGCAGAGTACAGAAGATGAGGTCAGTACATGTGACAGGTTGAAAAACTGCCCCCCAAAGATATCAGGAACCTATAAATGTTACCTGGAACCTATAAATGTGACCTTACATGGTAAAGTTTTTGCAGATTTGATTAAGAATCTTAAAACGGGGGCCGGCCC